TCTGCATCGTGATCCAGAACATCACCAAAATTTAAAGGTGTGTTCCTTGGYCCAGYACACACATGTGGTAAAAATGTCATGACAATCTGTCCACAAGTGTTTGAGTAATGTTGTCCACAGACAGAACGACAGACATACGCGACCAAAAACATTACCTCGCCCTTGGCGGAGGTAAAAAAAAAAAAAAGTTTTTTGTTTTTGTTTGTTTCAAATGAAACAAGGAACTTCCTGAACGTCCACTGGCCTGCTTGCCATCAGCAGGGAAACTGGTCCGAGCTGAAGGGTCTTCTGGAGAACTCAGACTGGGTCCACCAACATCCCTAAACTCTGATAACCAGGTGAAGGTCCTGGACCGGTCCAGTCAAAGCCAAGAGTCCAACTGAGAGCCTGTAGTGTGTTTAAAGACTGCTGGACCTGAACAGGACCCATGTTGGGTCAAGAAGAACCAACAGGAAGTCCAGGTTTAGTAGATCTGCAACACATTCACTGTTCAAAATGGCCGCCACATAAAACTGAAACACAAAAATGTCTCAAACTCAGCTCATTTTACAGATACTGAGGTCAGAGTTGGTGTGGTAGTAGCTGAGAGTCTCACAGGAAAAACCAATCATTAATGTCAGACCTGAACGGCGGCGAGCGACAGGTATTCCTTTGATACACTGTAGGCCTTTAATCCCTCTAACGGATCTGTTTATTTAATCTGTTTCCAAAGTTAAACTGAAGTGTGATTCCTCAGAGAGGAAAGCATCTCTACAGGAAGTGGTTTTTCTGATTTTYAGCTGAAACAGGGCTGCAGTCGTGTGTCGGTGCTTTAGCAGCTGCAGCCTCCTCATCCTCCACACCGCTCTGATGTCATTTAGCTGTAGCACCACTTTAACTGCCCTGATTCACGTTATCTGTAGCCCACACAGCACCAACATGCACCATCTGCACCCACATACATGCACACATGCACATACTGTACGCGCTGGTCCTCCCGGCCCGCAGAACCCACCGTTACGTGACACGTATGTGAGCTCAGTGCTCCGACACGATGCAGCATTCAGAAAGAAGCTAACGGGATAAAAAGCACCGAGACTCACGGGTCTCAGCAGCTCCTGCAGAGGTGATGGAGGGATGAAGGTGGAGGAGGATGAGAATGGGGAGGATTATTGATCCAAGCTCATTTCTTTCTCCTCCTCCTCCTCTGCTGCGCTCACCATTATCTCCCAGAAAAAAAGAAAAAAAAGGAGGTTTTCCTCTCTTCTTCGTGATCACATCCCATCCCTCCTTCCTCCCGCTCCCTCCTGCTGCCGAGTCAATTTCTTCCTAATTGTCATTCCTCTGCGCCTGACAGCCGAACGATCCGCTGCGGTGGCACAGACCATCCGCTCCGTCTGCACGAGTGTGTGAACACACGACGTTTGGCTGCTTATCACCAGAGAAGCATCAGAGGGTTTTACACCTCGACTGTGCTGCTGAAAAAGAAGAGGAGGTGGTGTTGATGGATGAGTGGATGGATGGATGGATGGATAGATGGACAGACGGAAGAATGATAGGATGGATGGATGGATGGATGGATGGATGGATGGATGGATGGATGGATGGATGGATGGATGGATGGATGGA